AGAGAGAGAAGTGAGAGAGAGAAGTGAGAGAGAGAGAGACATACGTGAGAGAGAGAATTGAGAGAGAGAGAGAGAGAAGTAAGAGAGAGAGAGAGAGAGAGAGAGAGAGAGAGAGAGAGAGAGGAGAGAGAGAGAGGAGAGAGAGAGAGAGACACAGGTGAGAGAGAGAGAGGAGAGAGAGAGAGAGAGAGAGAGGGAGACCTCCAACCCTTGACACCTCCCTCTGACCTGTAACTGCAACACTGAACCATTGCTTGTGATTCTACCCCTCAGCCCTGAACCCATCCACCTGACCTCTGACTCTTCCCTCTCACCCCTACCTGTGACACTAAGCTGCTGCTTGCAATTCATCCCCCAACTCCAACCCTGACCCCTTCCTCTGACCTCCAAACTGAACTGCTGCGTGTGATTCCTACCCTAGCCCTGAACCCCTGAACCCCTCCCTCTGACCTCTAATTATAACTGCGACACTGAACTACTGTTTGTGATTCCTCTCCAACGCCATCCACCTAACCCCTGACCCCATCCACCTAACCCTGAACCCATCCACCTGACTCCTGACCCCATCCACCTGACCCCCGCAACACTGACCTGCTGCTTGCGACTCGGGTATCTCTCCATGTAGACCTTGTAGAAGGGAGCGGTCGTCACCTTGTAGTCGTAGCGCCACTCGCAGAAGTGGTTTGCCAGGTCGAAACCCCTATGAGAGAATCACAGAGAGAGAGAGAGACAGAGATGAGAACGCGTGTGAGGAAGATGTAGCAGCAGGAGCGCGCTAAGCAACTGCGATCAGCACGCTAACGACGATGTCGAGTCGTCCGCCGGTATTCCTCGAGCTGGATCGTCTGCTGGGCTGCGGATGTTGATCGTCATCGTCATCATCGAAGGTCGTTCTGCAGCCGCGCTGTAATCCTGCAATCGTTCGAATCCACTTTCGCCGCGGCGCGGCCGGTGACAACGGAGGGACTGAAGGGGAGAAAGTAAGCATCTAGAAGAGATGCCTTCCTGCGGCGATCGCTCTGAGGAGAGGATTCCCGGTCTTCCTCGAGATGCGTCCGGCATTGAAGCGGAGTCACTCCGGAGGACGATTCCTCCCAGCTTCCTTCTCCAGGGAGGTCCCGCGGCGCTCGTTCCTCCGGACAAAGTTGACGTTGACCGACCCCTGACCTTAAGTACGGGAGACTCGCAACAACGTGTGCTACGCAATTCCTAATGGAAACCCGTAGCTATGGCAACCAGTCGCTAGGGCAACCAGTAGCTATGGCAACCAGTAGCTATGGCAACGGAAAAGACGTGCTGCCTCGCTCGAGGGAAATTTGCATTCTGGAAATAAAACTCGGTGGCCGGCAACGGTGCAGGGAGGTCACCGGAGCTAACGCACGCGCTCGAGAGCGCGTCCCACGCCTTACCTGTAATTGTAACTGCAATATTCAAAGTCGATGAACACAAGCCTATCGATTAAGGGTCCCTTCTCGTCTCGCAAGAGAACGTTGCCTGAAAGTAGTCAAGTGCATATTCGTGGGTCAGCAAAAGGCGTCCGTCCGTTCAGCATCGTGATATTGAAATGAAATCAGAAAATCATTAAACAGAATAGATTTAGTGTTCATTATCGCAAATTAGTTGTTTAATACGGCGCTGTAAACTGTATCTCTAACTGTCTACAATTCCTTGTAAAATTACTCTAATGAACCAGTAGATACTATATATATGTATATATATGTAACATTTTTGCTTGCAGAAAACGAGTGGTGCACACATCTACACGCCCACATACATGCACACTGAAATGCACATGCAGACGCGTGCCGTGCACATACACATACGCATACAGGTACACCCACACGCACGCACGCATGCACGCACGCACGCACACACACACACACACACACACACACACACACACACACACACACACACACACATTTACCCCACGCGCGTTGAAACAGTAATCCCAGTGTA